GTGGCTTTCTTTGAATGGCTGCCCCACCATCTCGCCTCTCAACTTACCCTAGAAATCGAATTACTTTGAGATACTATTTACATGTGGAAACTGAAATCCTGTTAGGAATTATTTGTTCCATTCCTTTGGAAAATGGAAAGTGAAACACTTTAGGTCCTTGCTGTCTTGCTCCTCAGAGATCTGCTGGTTGGGGAGGGTGGAAAGGGTCACTGCAGCAGGAGTTGGAATAGCAGGAGTTAGAGCAGCAGGAAATGGAAATTCTTTCATTGTTATACAATCCCTTACCCCTATACCACTAATCCACCAAAGCACCCTATCAGAAAATTATAAACAAATAATCACAAAGATTAATTACTTCACTCTTTCTATAACTGAAAGCAATTACAAGAAAACAATTACACAAACTTAAATTTATATAAACAGAACTGGAGAAGGAACTCTGATAGCAGAGTCCACAGGGAACAGCACTGCTGACCCAAAGGCCAGGCCTCACTAAGAGGCCGAATCCAGCAGGCCCATAGGAGACAAGCTGGGGACTCTCCCCTCAGATTTATACACTCAGAGACTCAATAAAAGGTCAGCTATTAACTAGTTCTGACTTGACAGCAATGAGCTTTTATAAGTAATGGGATTTGTTTTTATTTAAAAATATGCCTTTTTTAAAAAAATCACATTTTAAGGTTAAAGTAAAAAATGTAAATCTCCTTCTCCCAAGTGGTAGGAAATCTCTACAGAATTATTACATGAACAATATATTTTCACATACCTACTAGCTAGATTTCAATTAAGAATACTGAAAAAGTGCTTAGGGTGTATCTTCTGAAGAATTTTTAATTCCTTCTATAGATTCACACATTATAAATAAATGACTACTGAGGATATCACTGTTATTGTCTGGTGCCGTTAAGTTGGACCTGGATCACAGCTGACCATACAGTGCATTTTTAGAGGCCATAAATCGCACCGGAGAGTGCCCATGTTTCTGGCAAGGAGTAGCTGGTGGATTCGAACCATCTGCCTTTTTGTTGGCATTAACTCCTTACCCACTATGCTGCCAGCAATCCCTACTGAGGACATTGGGACAGCTAATTCACCATCCTTCTACCTCACACCTTGCTATTTCAATTGTTAACCATGTTTTTCCCCCCCTAAGTGTCAAGTTGTCAGTTTAAAAAAAAATACAAAATTGCTATAAAGAGAATATTAAATTTTAGATATTCAATTGTAGTTTATAATTATAGCAAGCCGTTTTATACACACACACACACTTTTAAGTAAATCTTCATGATTACATTATGTGCCATCAAGTAAATCTTCACAGGATAAAGAAAAAAGCTAACATGGGTAAGATTTAGCAACATGTTTTGCTTCACAGAAGACAAAAATGCTGAGCAAAAATGTTATGCAAATTATGTAAAAGTCCCAGTAAATCAAGCTTTGATATAGTCATATGTTGTTGTTGTGTGCTGTGGAGTTGCTTGCAACTCACAGCGACCCCATGTAAAAGAGCCCTAAACACTGTGCCAACCTCGCCGTCTCAGACACACTCACTCCCACCACCCCAATCACAGAATCGATCCATCTCATCAAGGATCTTCCTCTCCTGCGCCATCCCTCCGCTCTCCCAAACATAACATCCCTCTCAGAGGACCAGTCCCTCCTTGCAACATGCCCTAAGTATGTTAGAAAAAGCTTCTGAATCCCTGCCTCCAAGGAGCAGGCTGGCTTCACCCTCTCCGGGAAAAACCTGTTTGTTCTCCTAGCAGTCCATGGTATATTCAACACTCTTCTCCAGCACCACAGCTCAAAGGCATCAATTCTTTTTCTATCATCCCTAGTCATAGATAAGGCCTTTTACTTTTTTTCTCTTGTGTCAAGTCAGATCTGACTGGCACAGGAGGAGACTGCCCCTCCTCCTCCAGCGGGGTATCTAATATATTCGAACTGCTTCGGGATTGCAGCACAGCTTCTTGTCACTAGGCCACCAGAGTTCCCTACTTGCAGCCCTTATAAAAGTGTTAATTTCTGCTAGAAACAGCTATTACAATACGAGTGATGCTACTAAATGGTACTTCATTGTTCTTCAAATCTATAGAGAAGTTTAGTAAGCCAGCCTCAGTATGGTAAAGTAATTAATTTTCTTACACTCATTTATGACTCTACGGCATGTAACATCATGTTCACATTTCAGGGGGAAAATAAACACCTACATAATTATTCCCATTTCTTAGTTAATCCAGGTGTGACCCTGCTTCTATTCTGCCATCATATTAAAATCCAAACCTGGATTATCCCAGAAGCTTTCTTCAAGTTCTGAGCGAAAAAACTTGAAACCCAAAGGTAAACCTGAAACTAAAACTATCAAGAACTCATGAAATACTGCACAACAAAGATGACTCTAAAACAAATTATTCTGAGTGATGTAAGTCAGTCACAAAAAAATAGCTGTGGTATAAAACTATTATAAGAAGGTGAGGGAGCTCTGGTGGCCAGTGATATTTTGTGCTTCCAACCCAAAAGCAGGTAGGCGATATGAATGAAAGAGTTACATATAAATCTATCAACCTTGGAGGATTAACAGGGAAAAAAGAGGAGAAAGAGGAGGTATAAACAAACAAAAAGTTGAAAGGAAAATACACAATGAAAATGCTGATTAGACACTGTAAGTAATCAATGGCAATTAATGTTAAAAAACAAAAAAAAATCTATGCATCATTGAAAAAAATTACGGTTTTTAAACTTTCAAATTATTCTAAAAAAGGCAGATATAGATGGCCATCTTTACTGATATAGGAAGTAAAATGCTCATAATTTTTATGAGTTTCAATTGTTCATCTGAAATACCTGAAAAGTGTGAAAACTTTCCAATTTTTATATTAAAACATATTAAGCTGTTTTTGCATAACTATTTTTCTAGTTTTTTCAAAATGAATATTCTACTGCATGAAAGATTACTTAACACTAGTTACCAATTTAAACTTCAGTTCCTAATTATAAAAGCGTGCGGTATAGTTAAAAGAGCTGCTGTGGCAAAGTGGTTCAAGAATTCAGCTAACAAGGTGAGCAACTTGAACCCACCAGCTGATTTACAGTTCAGATCTCCCCTGACCCAAAGAACACAGAGTTAAAATGAACTCCAGGACAATGGGTTCCTACAACTATGTAAACAGATTACATGGTTTGAAATTATTTTAAGTCACATTTTAGCATTCAGGGTCACTAATTTCTAAAGAATTCTGGTAGCTTTCTCTGTAGAAAGCTGTGCTCCTAACTTAAAAGGCCACTGCTCTCTGGCCATTTGAATCCACCAGTAGCTCCACGGAATGAGCAATCTCCTCCTAGGTGACTTAGTCTCAGAAATCCAATGAAGGGCAATAAGAATTAGTTCCAGCTTGATGGCCGTGAGAAGAGTTCCATTTCTGCAGAGCTTTGGGGGAACAGTCTGCACAAAGTTGTGTTACACCAAAGGTTGTCTCTACTGGTTCAAATGCACCCGCAACATCTGGAGAGAAAGTCAGTCTCCTCCCATTACAGACTGACAGCCTGGAAACCTGATGGAAATTCAAACTGACCCAACAACAAAAAGTTTGAATTTGGTTTTAGTTCATTTCCAGCCCTGGTAATGTAAGTATTATGTGTCCCTCAGGATAGTTCTTTAAAAGTCCAGATAAGACTACCAAAGTCACCAAAAATACAAAAGATCTTTTTCTCAAATATATCAAAGTCTAGCATTAACAATTTAAAAGATTCCTCTGTAAGATAAAACTATAGTTAAAAAGAGTTGTCTGGGTTTTTCATTTTTATTTTATATTACTGGTTTGCTTATGAAGTTTGTATACATTGTTTCATACTATTTTTTATTCACATTTGTATTCCTTAAAACCATTCCCATTCATTATGTTTTATAAAATTAATCACCATTGGACTATGCCCACCATTACCCTGTCTTTTCAGGTTCCAACCAGATCTTTACCAAAAATGTAAGTTTTTCAAATAATTTAAATCTGCTGAGAATGGTACAATATTAAACCTTCGTATTATAAAGCAGTACCATATAACATACATTGCTAGTTATATGTATAATTTAACCACAATAAAAGATTAAAAACTGGTGAGTAAATTTCAAAAGTACTAGGCCTTCTATCTATAATCAACCAGAAATGCATTCGTGAACACTTTATATTTTCTGTACTAGTTTCAAAATCTGTTGTTCTCACTTACAGCACATGAACACATTTCAAGTATTCAATAGCCATGTTTGGACAGTTCCACTCTAGAGACTCTAAAGCACAGTAATATGTCTCTGCAATCTGCTCACTAACATGTAACCTAAAAATCACTTCTACCCCTCAGGACGTGATTTTTCCTGGCATTCCTTCACGTGATGAAACCTGGCTACTATTAAAAATATCTAAAAATGGGTTCAAACGCATTTCATTCACTGCCATTAATTCAGAACCAACTCATAACCATTGGGCTTCCAAAGTCTATCACATGAGAGAAGATTGCCCTTCTTTTCCCCTTAAGAGGTGCTGGTGGATTTAATTGCCAGAGAAGCTGGCCTGGGCCTAATAGCAAAACTCTATCAACTTAGCACGAGAGGTTCCCAAACTTAGGGTTTTAAATGTCTTTATAACCCATAAAACATACTGAAAGCCAAAATATTTTGTTACTTTGCTATGGTCTACTAAACTGTTTTTAAGAACCTAAGTAATAGCAAATTAAAACTATAACTGAAGTACATAAATTCAATATTATGCAATGATCTTTTCACCGAAAAGAAATTCATTTTTATAACAAAAAATAAAGAATGATACGTCTTTCTTGGGGTAGGGGGAGAACACTGATCCTAAAGACTGTTTTTTACTTCACTGGTCTCTTTCTATCAGAGTACCAGTATCCAGCTGAGTGAACAATCAATGGTAAACATAAAAAACCTACACATGAAAATCTTTTGCATGAATGAAGCCAAAAAATCCAACTTGAAGAGCTGTCAGTACCTTTGCAAACTTGAAGAACGGTCTTGGATCCTTTCTGAAATATTCAATATCAAACATTGCTTGAGGGTCTGGAAGGTCTGGGAAGTCTACTGCAAGGCGTGCATAAATACCATCTCGTGACCTGAAGTCAGGTATTCCACAGGAAACAGACACCTAGAAATATTCATAGCATAATTGGTACAGTAAGCCTACCTTTATGAGGACTAGCTCTCTCTTCATACTTTTAGGGAATTTACAGTTTTAGCTTGAACTTTCTTTTAGAAAACAGAAATACTAATCTACTCCAATTTTAAACAGAAATTTTTAAAAAACACCCCAAATAAACCAATAAAACTGAATCTATAATATAGTCCTGTTTCCTAAGGAGTTAAATTAAAGTAACTGGAATGTGATTAAACAACTGAGGGGGAAAAAACCACCACAATACAACAAAAATACCAAACAAAACTCAAAAAAAACCCCCAATCCATTGTTAATTGAGTCTGACTCAACTCACAGCTGACCCTTCATTGGGTGTCCAAGACTAAATTTTATGGGAGGAAAACCTTTCTCCCATGGAGCCAATGGAAGATCTGAACCCGAGAGGCTCAACCTTTGGGTTAGCAACACTAATCCAATAGTATAGTCAGTAGCACATCCTTTTAAAGGACGGGAGTAACAATTCCAACCAACTCTTTTAAATAGAAATCAGGCAAGAACTTCTTACCGTCAAATTTTTCCATTTTACTATCTCAAGAAGGCTAAATTTATTTTCTTTAAAATTTGTATAATATTTCAACCCTTTCTTAAGACTCTTAGATTCTATCTTCCTATTTAAAAACCATCAGGCCTTTGAGCAGGAATTCCATTTAACAATTTTGCCAGTATTGACTATTTTGAAATCAAAGTAAAACATATTTATCTAAATGACACTCTGGTACAAAGCTGTAATAAATAGGATGAATTCATTTCAATCCATAATGCAAAATAGCAGAGAAGAGGACAAAATTTTACCTCAGCATTTGTTCTAGTTACTATTATAGGTTATCATACTCTGTAGGAATCTGATTCATTTCCATACTTGTGAATACAAGTGAGGTTCCAGGTTACTTCACAAAAACTTAACAAATATCCGATTTCTTCAAAATAGCCTAGCACACTTGATCGCACTCACTCACTCACTGCCATCAAGTCAGAACTGACTCATAGCTGACCTTCCAGTTTTCAAAGGCTGTAAATTACACAGTAGGAGACTTGACCATCTTTCTCTTGTAGACTAGTTGGATTCAAACTGCCTGACTTTGGGTTGGCAGTACAACTCCATATCCACTAGGCCACGAGAACTCCTTACTTTAAGTGAGAGAAGCAAATTATTATAATCCTTTGCACCTCCTTTTAGGAGTTCTAAGTAAAATTCTTGCCTTAATGCCATTTAATGCATTTAATGCATGCAACTATGTTAGTCATATATATAAAAAGTAGTAAATGTGCAAGATTGGAGAGATTTTGGGGTGTTTTAAAAAAAAAAAACACAACAAAAAACAAACCAAAAACACAAAACTAAACTGAACCAACTTAGCCACTGCAGCTGTACTACTTTTATCAGTTTCCAAATACATACACCCATAATAAATATAATTTCTTCTAAGCTAAAAAACGTTTAATTGGAAAAGACTTAAAAAAAAATAACATACACACCCACCACCTGATTACTAATTAGTTGTTTAACATATCTGAACATACTTTTTATCAGTTTCTAAACATGTTATCCTTTAAGGACATAGTCCTCAAAATCATAAAACATTTTATGACTAGAAAAGTAGTAAGGAAAAACACACTCTCCCCACCTTGCCTGATATGTACAGATCTTACATACCCCAGCTCCAGTCAGAACTATTATTTTTTTGCACTCTTGCAGTAATTTCACAGCATCTTCAATTGTATTAATATCTTTCCTTTTTTTCCTTTTTGGTGGTTCTGAAAGGATATTAAGGACAATCTGCCACAATGTCATATCATCCCATTCGGGTGAAGGAATGGTTTCTGGTAATAAATCTTTAAGAATTGTTCGAGGATCTGTTCCAATCATGAGGTGTTGCTGAACAAAAGTATATGGACCTGTATAAACAGTAAATAGACTTTAATCAAATCCACTTTTTTAAGTAACTAAAATATCTTTTCTTTCTATTCTGTAGTAACAATTTAGTAACATGTAAGGTTTTTTGCAAATTAAGAAAATGGAATTTAAAAGTACTACCTTCTCATTACATCTTTACTTACGCCAATCCCATTAAAGTAAGATCCAAGGTTAAGTAGAATTCCATAGGTCTTATGGTATCATGTAATCAGGGCAAGAGAACTAAAATGTTGGTTCACATTAAAAGAATATACCAAAATAATCAGGTTCTAAAGCTGCAGAGTAAGGGAACCGTACCGATCCGTGGCCTTGGGGTCCAGTCACTGGAGCTTGCATGTGAGGCTCTATCATCCTCATCACTTTCACATGAATGAAAGCCATTCGTGATAACTTCATCACCAAACAGAAGGTTATCTGCAGAAGAAGAGATAGCTGAGAGCTGATGGAAAAAAACTGCATCTAAAATATATCTACAACAACTGTGGTGCACATTGGTTTTCATTTAATGGGACACTTACACACCTATACTGTATGTGTCAAGACTGCCTATTAGATAAGCCTGCATCCTCCATTGAAGCAATCAGGGGGCTCAGGCAGCTTAGTGGTAAATTGTACTTGCTGCAATCTCACAGGCACAAAGTTTGAATCTACAAGCTGTGCCTCGGGAGAAGAATGGGCAATCTGCTCCTTTACTGCTCAGACAACTTGCTGAGGGACAGCTATGAGTCAGTTCCGCCTCAATGGCAGGCAGTAAATATTACCATGGAAATTAGCACTTCCAATATAGGTGGCCCAGTGGGTAAAGCTGCATTGCCAACTCAAAAGGGCACAACTCAAACCCACCAGCTGCTCCTGGGAGAAAAAAGTGGGCAAGCTCCTCCCCGGCGATTTATAGCCTCCAAAAATTGGCTGGAAGGTCAGCAAAGAATGGGTTCCCACTCCCAGACACATTTAACAATAATCTTATTCTAACATTAAAAGTAAAAAGTAATCTGTACATCAATTGCTTCCCTTACTAAACTATGCATTTTTTTTTCCTATGGGGCTATTTTGCTAATCTAATTCCCAATGCACAATTCACTTGCATTATTAGCCAACGGTCCGTATGACTTCTTACTGAAATCTACTGACAGAAACAAATGGCTATTCATTGGACAAAATTCCCAGAACAAAATTATTAAGCCCTAATGAATGACATTAGATTTAGCTAGATCTAGGTATACGTGTGTATTTTTTTCCCCCAAACACATCTGCTTCAGGGTGTCAGAAATGTCAATTTTACGTTTCAGGGTTACAGAGACATAAAAGATGTGATTACATCTATTCTAAAAACCATTACAGGTACATCACTACAGAAAGAATAACTTGTAATAGCCTCAAGTTCTACTCTCTATGCCTACTACTAAGTGCAGGGGGAAAAGGTGATGGCTTTAGAAACAGTTTTGCTCTTTAAAATGGAAAACTTTAAAATTTAAAAACACAGATTCTAAAAAACGTAAACTGAACAGGTGTCAGGTTGCAAATGCAGTCGCAAAGGTCGACCAATGGGACAGGCAAAAGTTGCAAACTTAAGTGCCCCAGTAAAGGACAGGCAGAAAGCAAATTTATTTAACAAAAGCAATAAGCTTTCAGAAAGAGGTGAAGGAAAACTTAATTTTAAAGCCAGCAGCAAACGCGCCATGGCCCACAAGCTGCGCAGAGCACGGGGCCGTCCCGCGGGCCGCAGACGACGGGAGGGCGGGCGGGAGCCCGCGGGTCGCCCCGGAGCCAGGCCGGCCGCCCCGGAGCCGCGCAGCAGTGCAGAAACTCGGCGGGGCGGGAGACGCCGCGGCAGACAACCCCGCCGGCCCCAGGGACCCCCGATCGCGCGCCAGGAGGGGCCCCGGAGGAGGGAGGAGCAGATGCGCAGTCCCGGCCCGGCCGCCCGCGCCCTGCGCACCTCGGTACCCAATCGCTGCTGCCGCTGCCTCTTCCTCCTCTTCGCCTTCGTCCTCGTCGTCGTCGAAGTCGTCAACCGGCGGCGGCTCCCGAGACAGGCCCTGCAGGCCTAACCCATTGTCTTCTTCCCCGGTCGCCACGGCCGCCGCTGGGGCCTCCCGCTCCTCGCCCGCCACCGCCGCCTCCCGCCACAGCGGCGCCGCTGGGCAAGTCCCGACCGCCGCCGGCACCTCACGCTCAGGAACCGCCCCGCCGGGCTCGTTTGGGCTCCGCCCGAAGCTGGAGCCGTCTTTCCGCGGTCTTTTGCGAAGCGGATCTCCGGCGGGCGGCGACGCGGCCTTCCTCACGGCCGGCGCCGCCGAGGGGGAGCTGCCGGGGTGAAGGGCGAGCGCCGCCTCGTCCGCCATCTTCCAACTGCCTCTCTGGCCCTCCTCCCTCGCCTCCTCTGCTCCCGCTCGACTCGCGGCACTGGCGCCCCCGCGCCTCCGGCTGCGGGAGATTTAAACCCTGTCACGTGACCCGCCCCTCGCCGCCCCCTCCCTCCTGCCGCTCCCGCCACCCACGCGGGCCGGACCGCAACACCGCGGGTCACGTGGCGGGCGGAGGCCTGGGCCGCGCCGCGGCGTTCGCAGCTCGGCGAGGGCAGCGAGCTAGCGCTGCCCGGCGGCCTGCGGCCCCGCCCACGGTGGCTGCGTCCTGCTTCCCTGGCCGGCTCGCCTCCGCCGCCTTCCCTGCCTGGCCGCCTGCGGGGAGCGGCGTCGGGTGCCTGGAGTTCTAGGTGCACACCTGGTGTCTTAGTGAGGTTAAAACTTGCCTCTGGGAAGTCATAAGAAAATGAAACTGGCCCAGTACAATGCATGGTTGTTTTGGTTTTATTTTGGGGTAAGAGAAGCGGCAAAAGACGCAAATCAATCCTACCCTCTTCACACCATTCTGTTGCATATCCCCCTGCTCACTTTAGTCTGTTTGCTGTTTTTTTAAAACCCCTTCTTCAGTACTTGTAGGATTGGCGTGGATTGTCAAATCTCATAAAGACTGCTGGGAGTGTGTTTTCCTGTGACATTTAAACATGAGTACATAAACTATGAATACATAAACTCGTTCTACTTATTGCCAGGTAGTCATGAGAAGGCATGGATTATCTTAATATAATCCAATCTTGACAACAGAAAAATTGACAATACTTGAAAATCTCCCAATAGATTGTTAAATCCCTAATGGCATGTGTCTTCCTGGGAACACTTGCCCCGTGACATTTACTTTTAAATATGAATAAAGTTGTTGTTATGTACCGTCGAGTCGCTTGCGACTCATAGCGACCCTATGTACAACAGCCCCAAACTCTGTCCTGTGCCAATCCCACGGTCTCCGACACTCCCATCCCAATTATCCCAGTCCCTGAATCAATCCACCTCATAGAAGGCCTTCCCCTCCTTCGCCGTCCCTCCACCCTCCCAAGCATGACGTCCTTCTCCAAGAACCGGTCTCTCCTCACAACATGTCCAAAGTATGTTAGACTGAGCCTCAGAATCCTTGCCTCCGAGGAGCCACCTGGTTTAAACCCTTTCCAGGACGAATCTGTTTGTTTTCCTAGCTGTCCATGGTATTCTCAATACTCTTCTCCACCACAACTCAAAGGCCTCAATTCTCCTTCTATCCTCTTTGGTCACTGTCCAACTCTCTGATGCATAACAAGTGATTGCAAAGGCCATGGCCTATATCAAACGCGCCTTAGTCTCTAGAGAGACACCATTGCTCTTCAGTACTTTGGAGAGGTCCCTAACAGCAGACTTTCCCATGACAATGCGCCTTTTAATTTGTTTTGCTTCTTCCAAGGTAGGTAGCATACTTGTTAGATGCACTCCAGGTAACTATTAGGAACATCAGATCGAAGCTGTGCCCTATCCTGTACCTTTCTCACAGGGTCCATTATGCCCAAACCCCTTGTTGTTTTCACTGACCCTCTACTTTCCCCAGCATGGTGTCTTTCTCTAAGAACTAGGGAGCTTTGGTGGCTACTTCATAAGGGGTAGTGCTAACCCGAAAGCCACACTCTGACAGTTTGAACCCACCAGCCACTCCATGAAAGAAAGATGGGCAATCTCTTAAGATTTACAGCCTTGCAAAACCCATGATTGGCTATGAGTTCCCACTGGTGGGAACAACGGTCAATAGAATAGCTTCTATTAAAAAACACGGAACTCATGCAATATTATTCAAAATGGTTGACTCTGGAGAACATTATGCTGAGTGAAATATACCAGTCACAACAGGACAAATATTACATGATGCCACTGTTGTAGAATGGGACTGTCCTTGGGGTTGGGGAGAGACTGAGTAAGATGGGTTCAATAATGTATACTGCACTGAAACAGAGGAGGGAGAAAACTGTTTAAAAGAGATATATAACTAGGTATTTCTGTCATCACAGGAGTCTAGAGCGAGGGCTACATGGTGGAGGGGACCTGGGGGAGGGTTTGTAAAACAATGAAAGAATCTTTTCTTTTACTTTTCCATAATTTTTGACTCATGTACTTATAACTTGTTAGTCAAATTTGTGTCTTCTAGGTTGCAACACCCCCATGATACATCTTCAAGGATATGAACATGTACGGCCAAGCACAATCAATAAGAGTGCATCTAAATTCCAAAATCAATCTCCATAATAGTCTATGTGTTTCCTACTGCCAAAGGGGCCCTTTAGAGTAGTGAGAGAAGATCTTCACCCTGAAACCCACAGCGTCCCTTTTCAGCAGCAAGTAGCTAAGAGAAAACGCCATCCCCTTTTCCTTATGACTCAGGGTGAAGTCTCTCTCAGGGAGGAGTGATAGGGAATGGCAAAGGACACACTGACAAAGAAGATTAATCAGAACTGGCTTTGACAAGCACTGTGGCATTTGGACAAGAACAACCTGGGAGGAGGGTAGAGAGAATAGTGCAACAATGAATGAATGGAAACCCAAAATCTCTGTAAATGTTTATGAAAATTAATAAAATATAATTATAGAAAAAAATAAAAAAATATTTAAAAAAATAGAGTAGGTGAGACAAGTTTCACCATCCTTGCCTCTAAGCAGCATCTGGTTGCACTTCCTCTTAAGAATCAGAATCAATCACTTACACTTTTAATTCAGTGGTTGGAGTCCCAATCTTTAGACTTAAACTGTGGCTATTCTGCTGCAGGTCCAGGTCTGACTAAGACAGCAAAATCTGGCTCCAGAAGACACATCCTCTGCTTCCTCTTCCTTGCTGGTAATGAGATTCCCAATTTCTGCTGCTTAACTTGCTCAATTTAAACCTAATACAGTGGCACAAGTGGACCAAGTTCTCATGGATAGACTGTCCACCCTGCTTGTATGTTCCCACCCAAACATGGGGCAAAAGTTCAAGGCAAAGGCATAGGAAAGCCATTTTGAACAATAAACCCACTATACCACAGACCATGTGTTGGTTTTTCTAACCATTGGCCTTCACCTTTGAAGTATTAATTCCTTTTATAAACGTTTTACTAACAAAAACCATATAAGCTAGCTGCTTCATGCCATTATCTCAGTTGTAGAAAGCAATTTTCTAGTTTTCCTGTCTCTATCCAACATACTCCAAGGGAGCTCTAGTGGCCTAGTGGCAAGAAGCTGCACTGCAATCCCAGAGGTACTCAGTTCAAGTCCACCAGATGCTCTGTTGGAGAAGGAGGGGCAAGCTCCTCCTGTACCAGTCAGATCTGATTTGATGATGCACATACAAAAAATAATAAAATTAAAGCAAAACAAACCAGTGTACTCCAAGGAAACAAATATGTTAAATTTTTTTGAAGACTTCTGTTCCTACTGGAACACTGAGCATCTATATCAATAAGTAAAGTCCAGTCTAGAGTAATCATCAGATTGCAGTCATCTACACTAACCTGCAGCATGAAACATCTTCTCTTAATCTGCTTGGCTTCTGCTCAACTCATGGCTATCCATCCATGGCTAGATCAAATAGTCACCAGCCACAGACTCAAGGGTTCATACATCCCAGCATTTCAGACTGATTGGTCTTTTCACTCTCAAATTTAGCCCCTTGAATGGGCTAAATTAATAAATTAGAAATCCTCACTACTCCGAAGTCTTCTGATTAGCAGCCCTTCTTTGTTTATCTATAATCTGTACATGTTAGGTGAAGCCTACATGGGGACCAGGAAACAATCCTCAGAACAGAGCAAGGAAGCACTGCATGGTTCAAAATAGGGGAAAGAGTGTATCAAGGATGTGTCCTGTCTCCATACCTTTTTTGAATGTAGAACAGATCATTTGGGAGGCTGAGGCTCATGAGGAGGAATGTGGGACTAAAATTGGAGGGAGTCTCCTCAAAATTATGTTATGTAGATGAGACAACCTTGCTTGCCTAACTGAGGACGACTTGAAGTGTTTGCTGCAGAAGGTTAAGGACTGTAGCCTTCAATATGGCTTGAAGCTCAACTTCAAGAAGGTAAGGATTCTCACCACTGTGCCAGTTGGCAGCACAGTGATAGACTGAGAAAAGATTGAGGTTGTTGGCAATTTCAGCTTGCTAGCCTCCACAATCAACACTCTTTGTACCAGACATTAGGAAATCAAAAGACAAGTTGCATTGAGGAAGTCTGCTGTCCAGGAACTTTCCAAAGTCCTAAAGAATAAGTATATCAGTCTAGAGACTAAGGTGTACCTGATCCAGGCCCTGGTCTTCACAATTACTTGCTGTGCATCAGAGAGCTGGACAATGAATAAGAGTGATAAGTGGACCTAGGTGTTCACTGTAGTTAATTTAGAGAATCTCCCAAAGTCTATCTGCTATGGATGACTCTGCTGGTATTTTAAATATTGGAAGTATAGCTACTAGCATCAGAGCAACATGTGAGGCACTTCAGTACAATACTCTGACAAACAGGTTCTGTACTCATAAGAGCAAACAACCAAATAATACATATACACAAACTATAGAATTAGCAGCAACATGCAAGCAATACAGCAAACTGATGGCTAAGTTTTGCACCCATAAAAGCAAACCTTAAAACAAGTGGACAAGCAAATAATGTAAAACAAACGTACATGATATGAGAAATAGCAGCCTGGCCAACTGACTGGAAGATATCCTTATTTGTTCCCATTTAAAAAAAAAAGATTATCAAACAGAAATTGACATTATCAAACACTATTATTAATGTCACATGCAAGTGAAGATTATTTTAAATATGGCTGGATGTCAACAGGTTGCTGCAAGAAATGCATGCTGACTCTGAATGCACCTGATTTCCTCTGATCTTGGAAGCTAAGCTGGGTCAGGCCTGATTAGTACTTGGATGGGAGACCTTCTGGGAATCCTGGGGTCTGTAGGCTTTTTTTAAAAAAAGAAAGAAAGAAAGAAATCCAAGCTGGATTCAGAAGAA